GGGAAAGATAAGAGAAAGTCCAGCTTTACACCTCAGCTCTTTCCATCTTAGAGCTCTTGTAGAAGGAAGGCTGCAGCTACAAAACTGGATAATGATCGAGTTAGCCCCAGCACTTTGCCTTTCAGGAAAAGCAGCCCAATAGAACAGCCCTGAATTCTGCTGTAATCAGTTCCTTTCCCTGGGCTGGTGAGTCTCAAAAGAATAAATGTTCCCACCACTAATGTTAAAAAGAGAACATCATAACCTGAAGTCTTAACTGCTCTAAGCCCATTGGAAGGCTCTGCTTTCATTGCCTCACTGAAGTGAGCAAAGACTGCTCTGCTGCAAGTGATGCAGAGCTTCTCAGCTGACAGTTCAACAACTTAGCAGTTTTAGCAGTTGCTACGGAGGCATAAATTGCTACATCCTTCTAAACTAGGTATGTGCTAGTATCTGGCACTAAGAGAAAGTCACATTCTTCATTTTTTAGAGCTAGTGAAATGTGATGTCCAACATTATTTTTAATGCCATCATGACTATAAATGGTTTATGACTTTTATTTCATGATGAGTAGTTATGTAATTAACTTAATGGCAATCAAAACATCAGAATAGAAATTAACATTATTTTATGTGGGTTTTAAGTGAAATTGTACAAGTTAAGGAAGCTTCATGTTCCACAGAAGATATGACTTGGGTATGATCCATAAATAAAATCTATAAAACAAGTCAAGTTTTACAACATTAATCCTGTCTTCTATTCTGTGATCCTTTTACATTGCCTTAACACTGCTGTAGAAGACACACACATTTCACCTTGCTTATAATCCTATAGTACCTGGGTAGTATCTGCCAGGCAGTACCTGGCAATATATGTAACCCCTAACCAAAGGGGGGAAACAATGCTTTGAAACTTTTCTAGTCTTGAATATTTGGTGAAAAGGGCAAGAGCCATTACTCTTTCATGATATCAAACATTTTAAGGTCCTCTGCATCAAGTAGCCACCCCAGCATATTTATTGTCACAAGGCCAGGCAGCCAAAAAGCACACTGGACAAAAGATGCCACTGTTGGAGCGCTGGCTTTGATCTGATGCGTGAACATGTGACAGATACTCAGCTCTTAAATTAAGCATGTTATTCAGTGTTTTAAAGTTCCTCCAACCCGTTTCTCTAACATTGTGATTTGCTGACAACAAGAGCTCTTCAAGTTTCTGGAAACCCCCACTGGTTGCAACCTTTGCTGCAAAAGTACACAGATGTCAGTGAGGATTTAAAGACACTCCAAATCCATCTGAAATATGAGCACAGATAAGATTAATCTGAGACATCATCATACATGAAAACAGAACAAACTTGTTGCTAGAAGGCTGAGAAAGCAGAACAAGAAATGGTTGGGGCTGCCCATAAACCAAAGAGAAAGAGCTCACATCCATTAAAAATAGAAATTAATTTGCTGCTGTTTCAATGTGTACAAATAGAATATTAATTTATTCCAAAGTAACATCTTCCCTGTGTGAAAATGCTGTTTCATACACTTGATGTTCTGTTCTAACTCACCTATTTCCAACAGGCTTTCATCATTCAGCATAGGGGAAAATAAGAAGCATCTGAGATGCAGCAGACATAGACGCTGCTAGACAATGAGTTTGGCTGCAGACTTTATCCCTTTCCCTGAGGGAAGGATGAGCCTCTCCAGGTTGAAGAGAAAACCTAAATTATAAGATGCAGAAAGAGCAAGATTTTTTTTTCCCATTAAGATTAAACAAGAAGCCATATTCCTAAATCTCTGGCGATGTTGGATAGCAACAGCAGCAGGGTCAAAGAGGAGGCTAGCAACGCTGTTACAGTGAGCATCCTTTCAGCAGTTCCCTGCCACCACTGTAGCAAGGGTGGATTCATTCTTTAATCTTATAATTGAAAAGGTCAAAGCAGAAAAGGCAGGATTATTTCTCCAGAAAGACTGAGAGGTCTTGTGAGCCTCCAAAAAATGAGAGAGATCTTTTACGGCGCCTTCCATGCTGCTAACTCAAAGGACAAACAGGGGTAGGGGGGACAACAGAAAATCAGGGTAACCTCCTCTTCCCAAAATGTATGCCCTCAGTCTATACCCATTCCCTGTAGACATGGCTTTGTAGGGAGATGATCTTTTTTTTTTTTTCAGAGGTGCTGAATGCCTGATTCCACGGCTTCAGACAGCTGTCCATCTCACTCAACTCATGTGCCTCAGGAGGACATGGATGCACGTCCTTCAATTAAGTCCTTCATCACAAACTATGTTTTGCAACACCCGATTTTATATCTTATTTCCAGCTATTGGCCAGTATCTCCAGTTGTGCTTAAGCTACTGAAGTCACCTAACCAACCAGATTTCCAAAAGCATATGAAACAAAATAATTTTGTCAATGCAACAAATGAGAGCAACAGCAAATGAAGATATATACAGACCAAATGTTTCAGAAGCTTCCTTGACAACAAAATATTGACTGCTAAGGTCCAACACTTCGAGATGCACAAAACTGGGCAGAGCAACTGCTAGGAGAATAGGAAAAAAAAAGTCTGTATTATCATGCTTGCAACTTACATTTATGAGTTTCTTTAAGCTACTAAGATTTAACAAATTAGGTTTTTATATTAAATAGTTGTCCTACCTAAAGAAAGCAAGTGTTGATCTCTCAAAAATGACCCAGTTAGCTTGATTTCTGTTAATTTCTTGCATGAAGAAATTGCAGACGGAAGGGATTCAGAATCAAAGCAGCCAGTGTAGTTCAGATGAAACACAGAGAGGTCTTGGAAGCTCTCAATAAATTCAACTATAAAACAAAGTGTAGTAACACTGAAGATTCATTGTACAGTGAAAAAGAAAATCAAAAAAAGAAGAAAAAGAAATTAAGAAGGCTCTACTAGGTCCACCTTGTACTGTACTACAGAAGTATGCATCTTCTATCCCCACAGAGAGAGAAAGATACAAAGAAAAATGGAAGCATTAAATTATCACTCAGAAGAGCAATCAGAATCTTGTTTTATACAAGTGGTGATTTTTAAACAAATCAGATTGCCTGTGTTTTATAACTTGAATCATTATGAATTGTTCTGGCCTTAAACTATAAGCAAACTTTCTATAGATTTGTTTCCGTTTTCTTTCACATACAAAAATACTCTATAATTTTTCAGCATTTACTATGACTAAAACACCTTTAACAATTTTTCTACAGTTATTAGGTATGGTGTAAAGTGCTACCCATTGGCCAGATGTTGAACGTTCAGCTCTCAATGGTGCTGGTTTGTACTATACGTAGATTTTCCAATACAGATGGATAATTATTATAACAACACAAAAAAAATAGTTATCTAGGGGCTTTGGACTAAGAAATTAGTTTCTTCCTGGAATAAGACAGCTGAAACTGGTGTCAAGACTTGCTTACTCACCTGGCTCCTATGCCCATGATCTGGACCGAGTTCCCAAATGTGCTCTTCCCCCCAAAGTACAGCAGACTGTGATCAACCAAGAGGGACGAATATTCACTAATTCTAATGCAATACAGAACTTAAAGTTTTAAAGCGCACCTTACCTAATTTTTAAACTTCACCTCATCGATCAACAATTTCTTTATGTTACGGAGATTTTTAAAGCCATTAGGTATTGTATCAAATATACTGCAGTTTTCATATTGGAGCACTGACAGTTCCTCCAGGCAGATAAATTTGTCTAAATTTGAAAAAAGCAATTCTGCAAAGAAATCAAACATAAAATGAAACCAGCTTGATCAGTTTAATCCATTTGTTCTTCTGACAATTTGCCAAGCTTTTTGTAGCTGCACCAAACTTACCAGCTGCTACAGAAATAAGTTTCTTCCTCTTCTAGATTTGCTCTACAGGAACTTTCCTAAATTAAAAATAAATC